GTAAAATGCTTTACTCATGAGATCAGGCTGGTGTTTACACATTGCCTAATTGTTTGCGTTTCAGGTCCTCTCGGTGTTTAGCATGTGTGCCTCTTGGCTAGCCATAATCTTTCAGTAATGTTTGGCATTATCATACAGCATGTTTGCCATTTTTATCTGAATGGCTGCTATTAGCTAAGCTATCTGTATAAATGGGCATTGGAGTAAATGGTGTTTGTACCCCCCCCCCCCCCCAATTCTAAGACATTGTATTGTATCTATATGGAAAAACAATTGTCTGCTTTTATTTTTTCCCTCATGACTATTTTAAAAACGTAACTTTTCAAAACCATAAAGCTCAGTGTCTTTCCAATGATGCATAATTTGTTTTTGTAGCTTACTGGAGTCAGGAACTATTACTATTTAAAGTTGGGTAGGTGTAAATCTCCAAAATTTAGTGTTTGCTTTAAATGATAGGATGTACTGAATGTTGGATCTCCCACCATTGGCTTGTCCACTAGAACCCAAATCGAGAAGTTGATGCTTCTTAGCAATGCTTCAGTGTCTTAAGCATCTCAAACCTGTCTAATCTTTAGTGGAACTTGTTAACTTGAGATTCTCTTATCAGATGACTGAGGATGAGCTTGTCTACACCTATACTGTTACCTACACCCCTGAAGCGTTTCCTGGGACTCCTATTATCCGGACTGATGGTGCAGTTGTTGGTGTTCAATGCCACTATCCAAGGTATGTTAGCGTCTTCGGTGCTTAATACAACAGGGTAAACTACTTCGGTTCCAGCTATGTAGGTCATTGTTGGAAATCTGTCCATTTTTAATTCTTTACCTCCAGGCTTCACAATGTGAGCAGTAATGCCTTGATGCCAGCATGGACCCCTTATGCCTCAGCTGAGGTTGGCGAGGATATCTTGGTCTTCTCCCTGGATCTCATGACTGGTTGGTGCAGTTTCTTACACTTAAACCTTTTGAGGGTGTACTTTATCTAAACACTTTTTTTCCTCTTGCAGATGACTGGTCCTATCAGAGGCCCTCAAATGTGTATTTCCTGGGAAGCGTGATTAATATTGAGGCATCTGTGATGCAGTACAATCATGTGCCTCTGCGTGTGTATGTGGACCGCTGTGTGGCAACTCCAGTACCTGATCCTGAAGCTCTGCCAAGATATTCCTTCATTGAGAATCATGGGTAAGATCACACACTAACAGTGTTGAATCATGTCCAGGGTATCTGATTTTTGTTTAAAGTATTGGTGGGGCCGGAGGGGGCCTAGTATAGTGAAGGGGATGCTATATTGTTAGTGAGTGCTCCTTTTAATACAAGCTGTTCAACTGCGTCCGTCTCTCTCTGGTCCTAAATGCCATGGCACTTGCTGTTAATCAATCCGTTCACCACAGTAAACTTGTGTCCTTAAGCTTAAAGTTTTTCAAAGTCTTATGAAGATAAGAATGGGCTTTTTGATCCCTTTCAAATAATAACTATGGCCCTAGTAAGACTAGTTGGCTCCTCTTCTACCCTAATAATACACTCCTGAACTGTTAGTTAAGATTCAGGTTCTTTTTGGAGTCTGTAGATTTATAGAAGCTTCACAAATTTGTCACCTTAACTAATTATAGCAACTTCCAAATGGTTATTTTGGGCCTTGCTGTTGTCCACATTTGGAAGGGATCAGACCTTTCCAGAATAGTCTCAAGACTGTCAAGTTCTGGGATTGTTTTGTAAAAGCATGTCCACTAGCTTTCAGAGTTGCATTTGGGCTTAAGTTGCTTACCTTTCTGAAGGAGTTACCTTGAATCATTGGTAGTATCAACTTGTGCCATTCCTCTTGCTTTGTGCCCTTACAACCATGGTAAAGAATAGCTTTGCCCATAACTTCTGCCATCAGGTGCTTTGTGGATGCCAAGACTACAGGTTCCAGCTCCCACTTCTTGCCTATAGTCCAAGAAGACAAGCTCCGTTTCCAGTTGGAGGCCTTCATGTTCCAGGATACACCCAGTCCTTTTGTATGTACTATTCAGTATTGAGTAAATCCAGCATCTTGTCTTCTACGTTGTTTTAATCACTCTCTCCTGCAGATCTACATTACATGCATTGTGAGGGCCACTGTTGCTGCTAGACATAGTGACCATCTGCACAAGTCCTGCTCCTTTGCCAATGGGTATGTTTATCACTTTAAATCATCTTTTTGCACCTGTTGAAGGTGTTTGGTCTGACTCTTGCTTGTTGCAGATGGTTTGCTAATGATGGACACCACAGAGCCTGTAACTGCTGCGACTCTACATGTGGTCATGGTGGTGTTGAAGGCCAACTTACTGGGGATGGCTTTAGAGGTGTGTTGCTCTACTCTTGCTCTTATTGTTTTGCTCTTGACTTCAGTTCTCCTGTTTAACTTTGGTTTCCTCTCTTCTAGGCATTCAGTGGGAAGGCAAGGCCTTGGTTGGTCCTGTAGAGGTCAAAGACATTCAAAGGAAACTTATTTGATCAAATAAATAACCTTGTTAACCCAGTCCTGGCTCGTTGCTTTTTTTTTTTTTCTTTTTTCGTTTTAAATTGAAGTGTCACAACTGACTTTAATAGTTGACTACCAAAAAGAATAGTTGCAGATTTGCACCAATAAATCAGAAGCATGTGTATTTATTAAAGGTCACTTGACTTGCTCTAGTACAGGTGTCCTGGAGGGCCAGTGTTCTGCAGATTTTAGCTCCAACTGACCTTGACAAAGCTGCACGGTTGTTTCTATAAAGCCTAGGAAGCCCTTAATTAGCTAGCCCACGTGTTTCTGGGGTCGAAACTAAACTTTGCAGGACACTTGCCCTCCAGGAACTAGTTTGGACATGCCTGCTTTAATATTTCGACTTGTTCCCAAGCATGGACTGCTGTGAGATTATTCAAGTCCTGAACTCTTTGTATGTTTGCATTTTTTGCTGTAGTATCTAAAATGCAGACCTACCATTTTAAGCTCAGACCCCTAATTATCCATTTGTATGGATAACTGTCAGTTTATTTGTTTTAATTAAACAAGCCATACAAAATGAAGATTTCCTGGAATGAATGTCATGTAAAGCAATAATAAAATTAAGTTTTTGATTTATTGTATTAATAGAAATTTTTTTTTTTTAAATAATTACTTGAACCTCCGATAGATACATGTGTATGTAGTAAAAAAAAAAATATATATATATTTTTTTAAATCACTAATCTCCCTTATTTATTTTTTTTTGTGTGTGTGTGTGTGTGTGTGACAATTTTAATGCCAAGTGTGCTTAACACATTTGTTTTGACAACAGAAGCCTCCAGTGCACAAAGTGAGAACACAAACTTTAAACATGCAGTTAGCCAAGAAATCTGGTTGTTGAATTGTATGTATAGACTTATTATAAATATACAGGTTATAAGGTGCTGTGTGCGACTAGAAAGTATTGCATTGTATATTGATTTAAGGTGCTGTGTACAAGTGTGTATGAGAAGTATTGCACATTTTTATTGCACAGTTGGGGAATATTTACCTGTTTGAGGTAGATGGCCTGAGGAAAAACTTTTTTCCTTTGGCTTTTTTGTGCTTGGTGCTCTGGAGTGCTGACCAAACAGTAACTCTATTTTTTTATATATATATATATATATATATATATATATATATATATATATATATATATATATATATATATAAAAATTTTTTATATATATATAAACTGTTTTAATATTGGTAAGTTTCTTCATTATCCATCTGTTGTTCCATCATAATACATAAATGTTTGTTCAAAGTAATTTGTGTTATTAAAATTAGGAGTCTTGTAAGCGGGTTGCACAATAAATGCACCATTAAAATTATCACAGCAGATGTGCACGTTCACATGTTATTTAAACAAACCATTCAGATGGGGCTTTGGTGTGGCAGACATAGCATCTCGAGTAACTGTTGGGCGCTTCAGACATGCACTAGAGTGTGGAGCCTGATAGAAATCTGTTTAGAATTGTGTAGTGCATGGCACTTTGTGAAGTGGTGCATCTGGTGTACGACAACCTTTAAGTTGCAGTCACACTGTACTTTTCTCCCCATAAACTTCCATTCATACGCACGCCACTGCATCAGACTGGAAATGCAAGTTTATGCAGTCAAGTTTTGCAGTTCACTGCGTTGCAAAGTTCAAGCTTGGTGAACTGACCTGGAATCGCATCTTGACTGCAACGTTAAGCTGTGGTCACACTAGAGTTTGTGTGTGCGAAATGCTGTCGTACGGCACTGCGAAAAGGGGCAGGATTAAACAAGATTATTAGACATTAAAAAAAGCGAGTGATTGCTCCATGTTTTAAATTTCTGTCTAGAGAGGTCATGTTTTGATCCTCGATTGGTCTCATGCAGTCTAGTGATGCGATTTCGCAGGTCAGAGTTCACCAAGCTTGAAATTTGCACTGAAGCAACCTGCGAAACTTGATGCATGACCCTGCGTTTCCGGTCTGACGCATTCGCGTGCATATGAATGGAAGTCTATGGGAGGAAAAGCCCAGCGTGACCGCAGCTAAACTCTTTAAAAAAAAAAACAATTAACTTTAGATTTAGAAGTATTTTTTCTTTACCATCACTGATAACATTTCTAAGCTAAAATGCTATTGAGATTATAAAAGCTTAATCTGGATCTACTTTATTGATTTATAAAAGCAAAAAATATACCATAATTTCAGGCTTTTCTTAAATTTATTCCTTTTTTAAGTGACTAAATTGTAATATATTACTTTTTTACCCAACACTGATCATAATATGTCCTTTCTGTAAGCTTTTTTTAAAGATTACCTAAACTTCTCATTATTACCTTGTCAGTTTCTTGATTGTTAAATCAAGAACAGTCAAACATTAAAAACCTCAACTCTCTTATTGGCTGATGACTTCTAGAAGCTCTCTATTGGCTTGTTCACAAACTCTACAGGTCCAAAGGTGGATCAAGGGTAATCAATTAAGCTGGAAGGGGCGGAGCCAACTTAATTCAGAGCTGTATAAAAGGGCAAAGCCAAGCAGAGATGAGCATTGTGGCATCAAGCCTGCAAAGATGGTGTATCTTCAAGGTGTGTTAGTGCTGGCTGTGATTGCTGTGTTTGACTTGACAAGTGCACAAGGAAGTTTGAACAATGTTCAAAGTCCAAGAGGATTCAACATGAATCTCAGAGGTGTTCCTGCTCCTCCTGGAGCTGTTTTCAGTCCTGATGTGATGGTGGCCTTCAATAGTCTTGACTCTAGGAAACCTGTGCAAGCTCCTCTCGGTCTTCAGGAGAAGCTGATGCTGCAAGCTCCTGAGCCTTTCACCTGGAAGTTCCCCATTGTTGCTGAAGCCCAGAGAGAGTTTGCCACAAACTTCCAGCTGAAGCAGCCTGCATCTCCTGGCAGCACTGTCGCAGTTCATTGTGGTTCAGATCAGGTTCATGTGGAGGTCCAGCAGGATCTGTTCAGCAATGGGGAGTTGATCCAGCCAGCAGGTCTGTCTCTGGGAGGATGCCCTGTTGTTGGTCAGGACCCAAAGTCTGCAGTGTTCATCTTTGAGTATGCAATTCAGGACTGCAACAGTGTGGTGATGGTAAGAACTTATTTTTGTTTGGCCACCTCCAGGATTTTTTACAGCTTTGAATATTTTAAGGCTAGTTCATGCTGTTTTTGTAGGTTATTTGACTGATTCCAGGTTGACTTTCCTTTTTTAAATGGGGTAGACCGTGTCAATCCCCCAACTTTTTGCCTTGTGCATAAAGCTAAAACAAACCACTTTGAATGTCAGATTACAGGTTTCCAACATGTTTAAGCCTTTAGTTTTCCAATAACTCAATTGATTATCCACTATGATCAAGTTTTAGATTCCCTTCCTGCACATGGATCCTGTTAGATCCAACTGGTTAGTCAATCATTGTAGATTTGTCTTGTCCTAAATTTTTGTGGAACACATCTGCGAATAGATGCCAGAATTCCTGGTGATGCCACTCCAGTTTCTTAAGCCTTGGTAGAACTTGACTTTAGATTCTTTCTTCAGATGACTGAGGATGAGCTTGTCTACACCTATACTCTTACCTACACCCCTGAAGCGTTTCCTGGGACTCCTATTGTCCGGACCAATAGTGCAGTTGTTGGTGTTCAGTGCCACTATCCAAGGTATGCTATAAAGGCTTCTGTGGTTGTTAAACCAGCTTGACTGTTTTCCATATAAATGGGTCCTGAAGTAACCAGTTCACTTTATTTACCTCCAGACTTCACAATGTGAGCAGTAATGCCTTGATGCCAGCATGGACCCCTTATGCCTCATCAGAGGTTGGCGAGGATATCTTGGTCTTCTCCCTGAATCTCATGACTGGTTGGTGCAGTTTCTTGGACTTCATCCTTTCAAGATTTACTGTGTCTAAAACCTTCTCCTCTTGCAGATGACTGGTCCTATCAGAGGCCCTCAAATGTGTATTTCCTGGGCAGCGTGATTAATATTGAGGCATCTGTGATGCAGTACAATCATGTGCCTCTGCGTGTGTATGTTGACCGCTGTGTGGCAACTCCAGTACCTGATCCTGAAGCTCTGCCAAGATATTCCTTCATTGAGAATCATGGGTAAGATCATGCTAACTTTGTCCCTGGTCTGCAATGGTAGGTATATTATCAATGTTCTGCAACTGGTTTTCCAAATTGGTCTAACTAGTTTAGTCAGGGTTTTGATCTGGCAAATGTTGACCACACTAATCTTACTGGGGCTGTGGGGTTAAATGGCAGTGGCAGGCAAGGTCATCTGTAGGGTGTTATGGCTTCTCGCTGGAGCCAAGCAGAGCTGAGTCAGGGTTGTACCTAGGTCATGGACCACTCTTGAAACTAGTTTGCTATTAAAATCTTATTAGTTAGGCCAAAAGGGAGTGCCCAGTTCTGTGTGTCCTACTACTTTAGTATGGTGAAATGAATGCTAGACTCGGTAAGCACCTTTCAGATGAAATTCAACTTGACTCTCTTGTCAAACCCCAGGCACTTGCTGTAACCCTTGACCACTTGGTGTTTCCCCTGTCCTGAGATGCTAGGTGTTTTTGTTACTTAATGTTGATGCCTTTTTTTTTTTTTTTTTTTTTTTTTTTGAGCTGATGTCAGTTATTCTACTGAACTCTGCAGGGTGGCTTCCCTCTTGGAATTTAATTTGACATCCCTGATTAGAATAACTAGATGAGAGGTCTTTAACTTCTGAGTAGGCTTTAATTTGCCTAAAATGAGCTTCTATTTGGCTTTAGCTGACTTGGCTGTCTTTCTACGCTGATGGTACACCTCAACTGCAGTAGACCTTGAGTTGGTTCATTTAAAGTTGGACTATTGTTTTTAGAATCTGGAACATCCTGATCCTCTAGAACAGGTCATGAAACTTGTTCCTGGAGGGCCGGTGTCCTGCAGATTTTTAGCTCCGACCCTAATCAAACACACCTGAAGCTAATCAAGGTCTTGCTAGGTATATTTGAAACACCCAGGCAGGTGTGTTGAGGCAAGTTGGAGCTTAACACTGCAGGGTGACCGGCCAGCCAGGATCGTGACCCCCCCCCCCCCCCTTCTGGATTGGTATTTTGAGGCTTGCAGTTGTCCACGTTAAGTGCATCAGCTCTTCAAATTTTCCGAAGACTAGGTCTTTTTTTTTTTTTTTTTTTTTTTTTTTTTTTTTTTTTTTTCTCTCTCCCCCTCTCTTTCCTGCAGTGTTACACTTGGACAATTGCTTTCACTTTCTCCGGGTCTGTTGCCTTGAATCACTGGTATTAATGCCTGTTCACTTGCTTAACCCTGTGTAAGGAATTTGTTTGCTTGACTTCCATCAGATGCCTTGTGGATGCCAAGGCTACAGGTTCCAGCTCCCACTTCTTGCCCATAACCCAAGAAGACAAGCTCCGTTTCCAGTTGGAGGCCTTCATGTTCCAGGATACACCCAGTCCTTTAGTATGTACAATCGGTATAGGTTAAATCCAGCATCTTGTCTTCTGCATCTGATTTTTAATAACTTCTCCTTTCTCTTGCAGATCTACATTACATGCATTGTTAAGGCCACTGTTGCTGCTAGACATAGTGACCATCTGCACAAGTCCTGCTCCTTTGCCAATGGGTATGTTGATCACGTTGAACAGTCTTTTTGCTCCTGTTGAAGGTATTTGGTCTGACTTTTTGTTTGTTGCAGATGGTTTGCCAATGATGGACACCATGGAGCCTGTAACTGCTGTGACTCTACATGTGGTGTTGAAGGCCAACTTACTGGGGATGGCTTTAGAGGTGTGTTCCTCTACTCTTACTGCGTTTTGCTTTTGACTTCAGTTCTCTCGTTTAACTTTGGTTTCCTCTCTTCTAGGCATTCAGTGGGAAGGCAAGGCTTTGGTTGGTCCTGTAGTGGTCAAAGACGCGCAAAGGAATCTTGTTTGATAATGAGTAAACTTGAGTAGGTTTATTAAATAGCTTTTTAAATTGCTCGTGTTTTTCTACTTAAGCATGAATGTCAGTATACTTGGGTACAAAACTCCCATCAAAAACATTGTGAATCCACATTACTTCTAGTAATGCACAAACCCACCACTTCTGCAAGCTCAGACCCCTACTTGCATTGTCTTGGATGACTGTCAGATTCTTGATTACTTGAATAAACACTCATAAAAGTTTCTTTGTGTTTCCCTTATTGTTGGTGAAAGGAAGTTAATTTTTATTTTCCCCTCATTTAAATTAACAAGTGTTTTTATTATTATTATTTTTTTAAATTATGGTAATTTTCTTAATCGCTAAACTACTGTTAGGTAATGCATTGTTTTGACAGTGTTACAAAACTGAATCTCTTTAACTTTAAAGTTGTTACATGAAATTGAAAAGTCTTCTAAGTGAGATTTACACTAAATCTGGATTAAACCTCTTATAACAAGATAACTAGTCTCAATTGTTTTACTTTAAGACTTATCATGAATTCAAAACCAAGTCTGAGGCTTTGGTCACACTGGAGTTTTTGCTAAATGCAGCAGACCTGGCCTGCAAGCTTGTGAAAGTTTTGCCGTTTGTTTCATTGCAAAGTTTAAGGTGGTTGAAATCTGACCAGCCAATTGCATGATGTGACTGTATGAGACAACCTAAATATCAAAACATGACCTCACTGGAAAGTTATTTCTAATGGGCACTGCTCCCACCGAATAATGCTGTCAAAATTTATTGCAATTTAAAGGCTGACTTGCTTTTTTTTTCTATAAAAAGCAACAATACCATTACAATTTAACATTATTTCCTTTTTAACTCTACTAATGAAGTTTTTGTAAGCTGTGTGTACAGAACTGTGTAGGTGTAATATGTCCAATGTCATTGGGTTAATGTAAAGTTGTTTTATTATTATTTTTTTTAAAATTAGTTTTCCAGTATTTTGACAGGTATAATAATTTCCCCAATACTGATCAATATTTCTATAAGCTCTTTTTGGGTGATGTGGTGGTGCTGTTGCCTCAAGAAGATTACTGGTTGGAGCCTTGGCTGGGTCAGTTGGCATTGCTGTGTGGAGTTTGCATGTTCTGCCCATGTTTGCGTTGGTTTCCTTTTGGGAGCTCCTGTTTCCCACACAAGTCCAAAGATGTGGTACAGGTGAATTGGGTATGCTGAAATTGACCATAGCGTGTGTTTGTATGGGTGTTTCCCAGTGATTGGTTGCAACTGGAATAGCATCCACAGCAAAAAATAAATAAATAAAAATACATGCTGAATAAGTTGGCAGTACATTTTGCTGTGGTGACCCCAGATTAATAAAGGGACTAAGCTGAAAAGAAAATGAATGAATAAGCTCTTTTTTTATTTAAATTACCTAAAATCACATTGATAAATTGTGAGTTTGTTGATTGTTAAATCCACAACAGCCATACATCAAAAACCTAAACTCTATTGGCTGATGACATTCTAGAAGCTTCCTATTAGCTAGCCCTAAGCTCTGCAGGTCCAGAGGAGAATCAAAGGTAATCAATTAAGCTGGAAGGGGCGGAGCCAACCTAATTCAGAGCTGTATAAAAGGGCAAAGCCAAGCAGAGATGAGCATTGTGGTATCAAGTCTGCAAGGATGGAGCTCCTTCAAGGTGTGTTAGTGCTGGCTGTGATTGCTGTGTTTGATTTTACAAGTGCACAGGGAAGTTTGAGCAATGTTCAAAGTCCAAGAGGTTTCTGGAATCTCAGAGGTGTTCCTGCTCCTTCTGGAGCCGTTTTCAGTCCTGATGTGATGGTGGCTTTCAATAGTCTTGACTCTAGGAAACCTGTGCAAGCTCCTCTCGGTCTTCAGGAGAAGCTGATGCTGCAAGCTCCTGAGCCTTTCACATGGAGGTTTCCCATTGTTGCTGAAGTTCAGAGAGAGTTGGCAACAAACTTCCAGCTTAAGCAGCCTGCATCTCCTGGCAGCACTGTAACAATTCAGTGTGGTCCAGATCGGGTTCATGTGGAGGTCCAGCAGGATCTGTTCAGCAATGGGGAGTTGATCCAGCCAGCGGGTCTGTCTCTGGGAGGGCGCCCTGTTGTTGGTCAGGACCCAAACTCTGGGGTGCTCATCTTTGACTATCCAATTCATGAACCTGACAGTGTGGTGATGGTAAGAAATCCCCTTTTTTCTTCAACCATCATGTAGCATCTTAATGGTTGAACTTTGAAAAGTAGGTTCATGTAGTTTTAAAGACTTGTGTCCAGGTTAACTAACCTTTTTAAATGAGAGAATGTACTAAATGTTGGCTCTCTAACCAGTAGCTTGTCCACTGGAACCCAAATCAAGAAATTGATGCTAGAATTCCTAGCAATGCTGCTGCAGTGTCTAAAGCAGGGGTCACAGACCCTGTTCCTGCAGAGCTACCTTCCTGCATAATTCAGTCCCAACCCTGATCAAACACACCTGAACCAATTAATAGTACCTAAAGCAGCACTTTATGATTGCAAACAGGTGTGTTTGGTCAGGGTTGCAACTAAAATCTGCAGGAAGGTAGCTCTCCAGGAACGGGGTTGGTGACCCCTGGTCTAAAGCATCTCAATTTCTCTTATCTTTAGTAGAACTTTAACCTTAGATTCTTTCATCAGATGACTGAGGATGAGCTTGTCTACACCTATACTGTTACCTACACCCCTGAAGCGTTTCCTGGGACTCCTATTATCCGGACTGATGGTGCAGTTGTTGGTGTTCAATGCCACTATCCAAGGTTTGTGCACTTGATGGATTACTCTGCCAAAAATGTAAGTTTTACACAAGTGGCTCCCAGGAATGCATTGCTATTTATGAATGCTCAACCTTTAGTGCTCGCTTCCATAGTGGAGTGAAGAACTTCGAGTCTTTACCACTTTATCAAGGACTCGTTTAACTGCTTAGGCTACACTCTTGATTTGTAAGTGTTTCACTACATGTCTAAAGTGGGTGCTCTGCTTCTTGAACTCCAGTTTTCACTAGTTTTAGGACTAGGTTAAGATTTAGTTTTATTTAGAAACCTGACTTTAGCAAGAAGAAAACTTATAATTCTTCTTCCAGGCTTCACAATGTGAGCAGTAATGCCTTGATGCCAGCATGGACCCCTTATGCCTCAGCAGAGGTTGGCGAGGATATCTTGGTCTTCTCCCTGAGTCTCATGACTGGTTGGTGCAGTTTCTTAAACCTTTTTCTTTCAAGATTTATGTTGTCTAAAACCTTCTCCTCTTGCAGATGACTGGTCCTATCAGAGGCCCTCAAATGTGTATTTCCTGGGCAGCGTGATTAATATTGAGGCATCTGTGATGCAGTACAATCATGTGCCTCTGCGTGTGTATGTGGACCGCTGTGTGGCAACTCCAGTACCTGATCCTGAAGCTCTGCCAAGATATTCCTTCATTGAGAATCATGGGTAAGATCATGCACTAGAGTTGATCCACTTCTAATATGGACTACTGTAGACCTTGGACATGATTCAAGTTTCTATAAATCTACCCAAGACTAGATGAGTTGTTGGATGGGGTTTTAATCCACTTTTGATAACTAGTCCTTTTTTTGTGCTTGAGTTGATCTTTGACTAGTGTTCATAGGCTCATACCTAATGCTGCATTTTGACCTTAATCCTTTGGTTCTGTTTTTAAAGTACTCCTAAATTTGTAGGTCTGCAACTGAAGTGATCAACTTTAGAGATAGTACTAAACCAAAATTGACTGCTTTTAAGACTTAAGTCAACTCGCTGCAAAACTCACAATTGAAAGGTTCAACAATATGTACTTGACGTTCCTGCTGGATCACTTGTGCAGTTTGGCTCCGGTCTTAGTGGTTAACTTCTGGACCGCCTTACAGACTTGTTTTCGTAGTGAAGCAAATCTGACAGGTCTTTGCTCCTGAACTCACCATGTACCCAATTGTATTGACTACTCTAGACCACGTTATACTCTAGAAACTTTCCAGATTTATATGGTGAGACTTGATAGTCCATGCTTTGTGCATCAGTCTAAGACCAGAATGGTATTTGCTAGTTTAGAACCACTTTAAGTCTGTCCACATGTGTTTACTTTAGTTCTGGATATTCACTGTCCTGCAGACCTTGTTTGGACCCCTAATTTTTTTTATTTTTCTTCCATCAGGTGCTTTGTTGATGCCAAGACTACAGGTTCCAGCTCCCACTTCTTGCCTATAGTCCAAGAAGACAAGCTCCGTTTCCAGTTGGAGGCCTTCATGTTCCAGGATACACCCAGTCCTTTTGTATGTATTGAGTGTTCTGCAAGTCAAGCTTCTCTTGCTCTCTGCATTGTTGATCTCTTATCTACTGTCTCTTGCAGATCTACATTACATGTGTTCTGAGGGCCACTGTTGCTACTAGACATAGTGACCATATGCACAAGTCCTGCTCCTTTGCCAATGGGTTTGTTTGACTTATTTTTGTAATTTTAGCTCTTCTATTAGATCTATTTATTTATTTTTTTTTTTAGCATGGACCTCAACTTGTCAATGTTGTCTAGGCTTTTGTTGACATTGCTTAATCTGGACAAACACTTTGGCTAAAGATTTGAGCTGCATCTGACAAATATCATTCTAATCAAAGGAACAAGTTGAATAGACTTAATGTGTAGAAAAATTTGTCTTTTGCTCCAATTGATAAACAGTGTACATTTTTTTACCTGTGTAATGTGATATAACTGCAACCACAGGCTTGAGGTCTAGGTTGAGTCCCAAAGGTTCAAAGCTTTTTTTTTTATTTATTTATTTTTTTTATTATTATATAGATAGATAGATGCTGCTGTAGCTTTCTCTTACAATCATCTTTGTTCCGTTTTATTTCCTTCAGATGGTTTGCTAATGATGGACACCACAGAGCCTGCAACTGCTGTGACTCTAAATGTGGTCACGGTGGTGTTGAGGGTAACCAACTTACTGGGGATGGCTTTAGAGGTATGTTTTACTCTTGCTCTTACAGTGTTTGCTTTTTTTTTTTTTTTTGACTTGTATGCTCAAACATATTTTTCTTCTCTAGGCATTCAGTGGGAAGGCAACGCTGTGCTTAATCCTATTGTGGTTAAAGACATGCAAAGGAAACTGATTTAATAAAACCCCTTAAGCTATCATTGTTTCTGACTTTTTTTGCTTTTATTTGACTGGCTTTATTTTTTTGCTGCTTTAAGTCATGGTGATTTAATGTTACAGTAAGTAATTTAACATCTAA